ACCCTGCCCACACTGCCTACATTCAAATTCCAGCTCTGCCATTTAGGTGCTATGCAACATTGACTAAGTTATTTTTCCTCTCTAGGCTTCACATGTTTCATCCATAGGCGGTAATGACTGCCAAAGCATCAAATGGTCGTTGAGAAAATTATTTTCACATATCTAAGACACGAAGAATTGTTTCCAGTCATGTGTTGCTTCTAAATTAAGCAATATCACATAGTCGTCAGTATTTAAGGGGGGTTATTGTTCTGTTTTGGGATGGGGTTTTTTTCTTGTTTTATCCCTCTTGTAGACAGTGTCTTACTGTGTAACCCAGGCTGGCCTCAGACTCACTGTGTACCCAGGCTAGCCTTAAACTCACCCTTCTCCTGTGTCAGTCTCTAAGTGCTGGGATTACAGGTCTGTGAATATTTTACTGACTCGATCTCTATCTCTATCTCTATCTCTAGCTATCTCTCTCTATCTCTATCTCTATCTCCAGCACTAGCTCTATCTAGCTCTAGCTCTATCTCTCTATCTCTATCTGTATCTATCTCTATCTCTGTCTCTCTCTATCTCTATCTTTCTCTATCTCTATATAGCTCTACTCTATTGCTATCTATCTCTATCTCTCTATCTCTATCTCTATGTAGCTCTATCTCTATTTTTCTCTCTCTGCTCCCTCTGCCTCTCTACCCTTCTGTCTTCTTTCTCTTACACCTCATTCTCTCTCACGTTTCTGTCTCTTCTCTTTCATATCTTTATTACTCCCTCCCTCCTTTCTGTATTTCCTCTCCTCTGTCCTCTGTCTCTCTTGTATCTTGGGGTCTCGCACTCTTTCTCCTCTCTCTCCTCCCTCCTCTCCCTGTCTCTCTCCATTGCCCCTTCCCTGTTTTTCATGCATCCTTCACATGCTCCTTTCTTCTCTCTTCCCCTCTCCCTCCCCTTCTCTCTCACCACCCTTCTTTCTTGCCCCACCTCTCAAGTACCCTCTCATGCATTCTACTCTCTCTTCTCTCTCTTCCCCCTCCTCCCCTCCCTCCTCTCCTCCCTCCCTCTCTGTTCCCCCTCCTCACCTCCTTCCTCTCTCCCCCCACTCTGTTCCCCTCCTCCCCTCCCTCCTCTCTCCCGCCTCCTCTGTTTCTCCTCCTCCCCTCCCTCCTCTCCTCCATCCCTCTCTGTTCCCCCTCCTCTCCTCCCTCCTCTCTCCCCCCTTCCTCTGTTCCCCTCCCTGTTCCCTCCCCATCTCCCCTTTTTTTGTCAGTCTTCCTCTCTCCCCCCTTTCCTCTCTCCACTTCTCCATCCTCTCTCAGCAGCCGTGATCCCTTCCACTGTAACTCTGATTCACATCTGGGCTGTACCAACTTCCTTCCGAGTTTCAAGAGTGCAGATGGGCATCAGTGAGTCTCACACAGTTGCTTACCTGAGAAATAAAGGTATTAATAGCACGGACTTCCCCAGGTTCTGAGGAGCACCAAAAAAGACTTCGTGTGTGCTGTGGTTATCTGGGGGCGAGCCCATAATTAAGCTGTGAAAAGAGAAGCTACCGGTGAGCTTTCAGAAGAAACGTGTCTCCCACACCAGGCCAGCCTGACCTCTCTGATTGCTCCACACACCAGGAGGACAGGGATAGACTCCAAGTTCAAGTGAGTCTGTATATGGATTATACATGTGTGCCTGTGTGTCTATCTGTATATGTCTCTGTCTCTGTGTTTGTGTGTGTCCTTTTGTATATCTGTGCATGTGTGCCTGTTTGTGTATGTCTCTATACATCTGCGTGTGTCTGTGCATGTGTCTTTCTGTCTATGTGTACATCTGTGTTTGTCTATGTCTATGTATCTGTGTGTCTCAGTGTGACTATGTGGTTCTCTGTGTATCAGTCTGTCTGGGTGTCTATGTCTGTCTGTATGTGTCTGTGTGTATGTGTATGGATGTCTGTGTCAGGAGCTAGCTGTGGGTAGTGGAATCAACAGCTCCTCAAAACAAAATACCTCTAAGAATGAGCCACAAGAGATGGAAGTCAAAGAAGGGAGGTAGGAAGTGGGCAAGTGGGGACAGCTGTGTAGACAGAACTGAGAGGCTCGTGGGCACTAGGTTTGGGGAAGTAGAAACCAGCAATGGCACATAACTGAACAGAGAAGATGGGCCTGGAGGGTCAGCCAGGGGCTGATCACAGAGCACTAGGAGAAGCCATGGAATGTTGTAGGCAGGGGGCAGAACTTCTCAAATGAGAAAGACATTTGGGTGACAAGATTCTGACACCTGACTGTTAGAAACTGACCCTTCCTAGGCTGGATTCCTAGATGGTAGAGCAATCAGGGTACAAGGTCAAATGTCCAAGTCCCGCCGCTGTGTGGGATGCACAGTTGACTTACCCCCTAGTGCTTTGATTTCACTGAGTGAGACTGAACCCCCTCAGTATCTTATTCATTCATTCATTCATTTATTTATTTATTTATTTATTTATTTATTTATTTATTTATTTATTTATTTATTAATTTATTTATTTATTTATTAACAGGGCCCCCCTATAGTCCGAGTTGGCCTGAAACTTACTGTATAGACCAGGCTGGACTCCATCTCACAGAGATCTGCCTGCCTCTGCATGGTGGCTTGGCCCTAGCATGTGTTCTGTATACAAATGGAGTCACATTGTTACACATTATTACTCACTCCACTTGTGAGTGAGTAAACTGAGTCGCTCATCCAGGAAGAAACCTGGTTCAGGCCTAGGTCTGGCCCCCTAGGGCCTACATATGTCCAGCTGCTTGGGAATTGTGAGAACTCTGGCTTCTTCCTCTGATGCCAAAAGAACTGGTTTGGGATGCTGTTAGGCAGAAGCTGGCTACCCATACCGCCATATCCACAAGACTCAGAGAAGACATGCAACCTGCCCATAGTCACACAGCAAAAACAATACTTGATGACTTCCAGGTTTTTATGTGGTGTGTAGTAAAGCAAAAAATGTAAAGGGTTGGGACTGTGGCTCAGCTGGTAGAGCACTTGCCAAGCATGCATGAGACCCTGCATTTGAGCACCAGCACCCCATAGGTCGTGGTGATACATGTTTGTGAACCCAGCACTCAAAAAGTGAGGACATCAGAAGTTCAAGGTCATTCTTGGCTACATAGTGAGTTTGGGGCCAGTCTGGGATACAGGAGGTCAGATTACAAAGGGGAAAAAAATACAACCATATCAAAGTATAGCCAGAAAATCAGCGCTCACAGCTGTCACTTGCAGATGACAGTAAGCACAGACAGGAAATGAATCCTTAAAACTGTGCTTTAAATGTCAGAGTCAGACGATAGGGAAAAGGACTGTGAAATGCCATGTTCTGGAGATGACACAGATGGAGCCCTCAGCAGAGGCTTCACCGTGGCTTACAGTGGACCCTGTACAGGGCCAGCCACTACCCTGCAGCAAAAGCATGTTCAACAGGGCCAGGAGATGGCTCAGTGAGTAAAGTGAAAGCATGAGGACCTGAGTTCAGAGCCTCATCACCCCCATAAAGTTCAGGACAGTGCCTCATGCCTATAATCCTACCGCTGAGAAGATGGATACAAGAGGCTCCCTGGGGCTACTGGTCAACCAGCCTAACCTAATCAGAAAGCTCCAGGCCCATGAGAGACCTGGCATGGTAAGACAGGCATGGTGGCTCACACCTTTAATTTCAGTACTCTGGAGGCAGAAGCAGGTAAATCTCTGGGAGACTGAGGTCAGCCAGGTCTACATGGCAAGTTCCAGGCCAGCTGGGGCTACAGGCAGACTCTGTCTCAAAGAAACATAAAACGCCGACAACAACAAAAGGTAGGGACCAGGGAGACTTCTCAGTGAGTAAAAACATTTTAAGCACAAATTCAAGGATGTGAGTTTGAATCCCTGGCACCCATGTAAAAAAAAGCAGCTCAGGTGTGGGCTGGGGACATTCAGCAGCTAAGACCACTGGCTACTCTTGCTCAGTTCCCAGCACCCACACAATGCTAACAACCACAACTCCAGTTCCAAGGGATCCAACGCTCTCTTCTGGCCTCCACAAGCATTGCACACACATGGTACATTACATATATGCAGGCAAGCACTCATACAAAAATAATAAATAAATAAATAAATAAATACATAAATAAATAAATAAATAAGTAAATAAATAAATAAAGTTTTAAGCCAGGCGCGATGGCACACACCTTTGACCTCAACGCTCGGAGATCACAGCCAGGCTTGTCTACATAGTGAGCTCCAGGCCAGCTGGGGCTATAGGAAAATCCTGTCTCCAAAAAAAAAAAAAAGACCAAAAAAAGCCCCCCAAAATGTTTAAGCCAGGTATGATCACAGGTAAGTAGACCTATAACCCCAACACTATAGAGACAGGGACAGAGGCAGGGACAGAGATAGGAGAATCGCTGGGGCTTGCTGGCTGCCAGCCTAGCTCCAAGTTCAGTGAGAGACCTTGTCTCAAGAGAATAAACTGGAGAGAGATAGAGCAGGACAGCTCATGTCCTCCTCTAATCTCTGCACACATGTACATGGATGTGCACACTGACATACACACACGTAGATATATACCACACACATGGATGCACACACAAGGTGAATGGCTCCTGAGGTTGACTTCTGGTCTACACGAACAAAAAAAAGTGTATGTACATACACACATGTACCTGTGTGCGCGCACACACACATACACACACACACACACACACACACACACACACACACACACACACACCAAAGAACATTCTCTTTTTACAGATGCAGAAAGACATTTCCAGGTTAAAGCTCTTGCCAACATTGCCCAGGTACACATTTATTGAGCACTGCTGTGTGCCTCCCACATTGACAGTCTGCTTTGTTCAGTTTCTGGTCTCAGGCTGCTGAGACCACATCAGAAGTAGTCACCCAAGTTCACCATAATGTTCGCTTTAACTTCTGGGCTAAACAAAATCATTCAGGTCCTAGATGTTCTGTGTCCATAACAAGAGTTTTGTGCCTGATCAGGTCACTTCCAGAGCTGTGACGACCCTGTTAAGTGAAACTTGGCAGGCAGTGAGTGCCCCATCACTGACAGAATCCAAGCAGAATCACCATGGAACTGAACGAATACTCAGGTAAGAAAAATTCTCAGGTGCTAACACTGGGGGCGGGGAGAGGGGAGGACCCTGGCTTCCCACTTGTGTCCAGAAAGCATGGGGCTCTTCAGTCCTTCCTTACCAAGAAGGGACTATTTCCAAAACAGACTAGGAGGTGGAGTGAGGTAGGGAGGTGGCACACAGCCCAGGGGAGAGGAAAACTCGGGGCTCCTCCCTTCAATGACTCACCTTCCCAACAAAACTCAGCCCCAGCTGAGTAGCTAAAGTCGAAGGCCAAGTGGAACAGAAACTTGGAACAAGTAAATTCGCCATGAGTTTGAAAAGCCAGGGTGAGGGGAAGGAGCTGGGAGCCTACGATGGACAACAAGGTAGTGCTTTGGGCAGCTCAGATATTGGGGTGAAGCCTAGAGAATGTAGTCTGTGGAGGCTGGGCTTGGATATGGGGCAGGAACTGGGACCCAGTTTCTTGTGACTGGGGAAGGAACTTGGGTTGGAGGCAGACATCAGATTAAGTAGCACTTGAGAATCAAGGTATAGGAATAGGGAGCTGGAGTCAGAATGAACTAGAAAGGAAGGCCAAGTTCTCTGGGGGTGAGGATAGGGCCCCAGAATTTCAGGGAGGAAGGGTACCACTCGGGTCCTGGCTAGAAGTTTGTCTCTCTGGAAATGACCTGGAATAAAGTCAGACTCACTGCTTACTGCAGTGTAGACAGATTCTGGGATGGAAAAGATAAAGGACAGACAGACAGACTCAGAGATACACAGACCAGAAATGGATAGATAAGTTCAGGAGCGTTGACAGACACATACCACCGTACAGGTAGACACCGTGGATGGCTGGTTATGTATGGATTAAGTGGGGTAAGAAGGAGCTTGGAGTCTGCTGAGACTTTCTTCTTCAGTAGGTGCTGTGGACAAACTCCCTGAATATTGAGGTTCAGGATGGTAGAGAGACACATAGAGCTGGGCCCCATTACCGCCTTGTACCCATTTCTACACCCTTTACAGGATACTGGGAGCCTCCCAGGAAGCGCTGTTGCTGTGCACGGACGGGGACACAGCTCATACTGTTGGGGCTGGTGACTGCAGCAATGTGGGCTGGCCTGCTGACCCTGCTTCTCCTATGGCGTAAGATTCCCCCAGCCTCCTCAACCCCCCAACCCATTTGGCCTTCCCAGATCAATGCCTGAGGATATCCCTCTCTTCTCTCCCTTGATGTTCTCACACATATGCTGGCCCAGCATCCCTGATTCCACCCACAGCTCCATCCTCAGTACCAGGTGGGGGTAGCTATGTAGCCACCCTTCTTGCCTTCTCTTCTTTCCACCCACCTCCTAGACTGGGACACAGAGAAGAATCTGAAACATCTTGAAGATGCTGCCGTCCGGAATGGTACGAAGGGGTCAAGGTGGTGGCAGAGGTGAAGGTCAGGTGACCAGCTGGTATCCCCTTTCTGAAATTGACCACTGTAGGGACTGCCTCAGTGTCTCTGTCTCCCCAGGAACCAAGGGACAATCTATGACACCCCTTCCATTCTAGTGGAAAACGGGGAAATTTCTACAAAGTCTGGAGAAATGCCTGGTTGCCTGTTAACTAATGTCTGCAGATGGCGAGGGTTACAAAACTACTTACTTGTGCCTCAGTTTGCCCTTCTATAATGTGGGTGAGAGCTAGCAGCAAGTGAAGACAGATAAAGGAAGTCCCTGGCCTGGGAATGTGGCTCAGTTGGCAGAGCACTTGCCTAGTATGCACAAAGCCCTGGGTTCTGTCTTTAAGCACCAAAGCTGGGCATAGTAGTATATGCCTCTAATCTCAGCACTCCAGAAGTGCAGACAGGAGGATCAGAAGTTCAAGGTCTGCGGCTGGAGAGATGGGTCAGTGGTTAAAAGTGCTGGCTGCTCTTGCAGAGGGCCTGGGTTTGGTTTCCAGAACCTACATGATGGCCAACAACCATCCATAAGTCCAGTTCCAGGGGAGCCAATGCCCTCTTCTGTCCTCCGTGGGCACTGCACGCATGGGTACACTTGTAGATGTAGGCAAAACACTCATAAAGTAAAAATGAATAAATCTAAAGGATGTTTTTCTTAGCAGGGTGTGGTGGCACACACCTTTAATCCCAGCACTCAGCGGCAGAGGCAGGTAGATCTCTCTGAGTTCAAGGCCAGCCTGGTCTATGTAGTAAGTTACAGGTCAGCTAGGGCTACAGGGAGACCCTGTCTCAAAAGACCAAAAAAAAATACATTTATGTTTTTGGTTTGTTTGTTTTTTTAATTGATCATCCTTGGTTACATGGTGACTTGGAGGCCTGCCTGAGTTTACATGAGACCCTGTCTCAAAAACAAGAAAGATAAAAAGAAAGTCCTCAGATAAATGTGACTATTGCTTTTATATTTAATCCTGGGGAGCCAAAGAACACACCTGGCTAGTCCACTCTTGTCTGCACCTTCTTGTGTTCTACCTCTCCCTCATTCCTCCCAAAATAGGAAGAATTAAAAATCTGCAGTTACTGTAATGATATGAAAGAGACCCCTACACAGAGGGCTAGGGAGAAGTTCAAGGATATATCTTATCCAGGTGTGGGGGCACATGCACACCTGTAATCCCAACAGTCAGCCTGAGGCAGGAGGATTGCAAGTTTGAGGGCAATATGGGCTACATAGTGAGACTGAAAAGAAAGAAGGGAGGAGGGAGGGGGAGGGAGGAAGACGAGAGATGGAAAATGAAGGGAGGAGGCTGTAGACATGGCTCAGCAGTTCAGAGCACTGGCCACTCTGATGCAGAGGACCCAGGTTCAGTTCTCAGCACTCACATGGTGGCTGACAACCATCCGTAACTCCAGTTCCAGGGGATCCGACGCCCTTTTCAGGCCTCCATGGGCACTGTGAGAATGGGTACACTTACATACACACTCACACGCATAAAGTACAAATAAGTCAAAAAAAAACTTTAAAGAAAAGGAAAGAGAAAGAGAGGAAGGAAGGAAGAAAGAAAGAAAGAGAGAGAAAGAAAGAAAGGGAGAGGGAGGGAGGGAGGGATGGAGGGAGGGAGGGAAAGAGAGAAGGGGGAGGGAGGAAAGAAGGGAGGGAGGAAAGAAGGGAGGGAGGGGAGAGCACGGGAGGGGGGGAAAGAAAGGAAGGCCTTTGTGATTCCTGAAAACACCTCTTTTTTCTTCCTCTGCCCCAGTCTCTCACATCTCCAAGGACTTGCAAAGATATCAGAGGGAACAGATGAACCAGCAGTCCCAGGGTGAGCCAGTTACCTCTGGTTAAGAGTCTGGAATAGGAAGGGAGAAAGGCCAGGATGACTGTGGGTACACAATGCTGGGATCAGCCATGCCTACTGCAAACTATAAAACCAGGAAGGCAGCCCTAACCCAGAACTCAGCAAGGAAGAGGCTGAGGATGGTTGAGGAGGTGCCCCAGGCCCTGTTTATCAAGTCTCTCTGCTCTATGCACAGCTGCTCAGATGTCAGAGAACATGCAAGAACTCCGAGCTGAACAGAAGCAAATGAAATCTCAGGGTAAGACAGGAAGAAGCCCCAGAGGTAGACACATACAAGGCTGGAGGCCAGGCTAGGAAAAGGAAAGGAAGGAAAAGAAACACAGAGGAAGGGAGGGGAGGGGAGGGGGAGGGAGGGAAGGGAGGGGAGAGGGGAAGGGGTGGGAGGCTGGGGGCAGGTGAGGAGACCCCCAGGTTCTTCTTATTATTGAAAGCCCTCTGCTCCATGCTCAGCTGCTCAGATGTCAAAGAACATGCAAGAGCTCGGAGCTGAACAGAAGCAAATGAAATCTCAGGGTAAGACAGGATGGGTGGGAGAAAGTCCCAGAGACAGAGGAGGAAGGGGGATGAAGACAGGGAGGGGGAAGAAGAGGAAAGGGAGGAGGAGGGAAATGGTGAGGGGGATAAGGGGGAAAGAGGAGAGGGTGGAGGGGAGGAGAAAGGAAGGAGGAAGAGAAGGAATGAAAGCGAAGAGGAAGGAAAGGAAATAAAAGAAAAAGAGAAACAGAAAGAGAAGGAAAAACAATGAAGGGAAAGGAAAAGAAGGGGGGGTGGGAAGAGAAGACGGGGCTTATGGGCTGTCTCTGAGGCCAGTCCTACCTTCACACACCTTTCAGACTCTCAGCTCTCCAAGAACATGAACAGACTGCAGGAGGACCTGAACAATATCAGATCTCGGAGTGAGTCTGGGAAGCAGCCAGGGCAAAGGTACAAACTGTAGGAGTGTTTGGGAGGAGAGCTGCCAGCCAGTCTCTGAACACTGCACCCACCCTTGCTCCCCTAAGACTTGAATGAGAAGCGCACAGCCTCAGATTCTCTGGAGAGACTCCAGGAAGAAGTGTCAAAGCTGTGGATATCGGTACAAATGTCAAAGGGTGAGTCCGTCCATCCATCCATTGTCATGGGTGACATGTAACTGCTTATGCACTTTGTGGCATCGTGTGTGTGTGCGTGTGTGTGTGTGCACGCACACGCGCAATGTGAGGTGGCATGCTGTTTGTGTGATGTGATAGTGTGGATGGATCTGAGTTCATGTATGGATCAGGACAGATGGAGGCATAGACCATCCTCCACTGACTTAGGAAAAGAGTGGCCCCCACTTTTTTCTTCCCCAGGATAAAGCTGATCATCACTAGCTTCTCTCTATTCATATCCTCTGCCCAGTCAGGCTTAGTGGGAGATGTGGCAATCAGCAATGTGGGCACGGATGGAAAGACAGCTCCACCCTGTTGCTACCCTTCCCCCACAGCTGCCTGAAGAGTTCTAATCTTGTAAGGGAGCTCAATTTAGCTAAAACAAGATTCTTGTCTTTGATACAGAAAAGAATTTCAGGATGAGCCAATATGAAGCAGAGTTGGAGTTTATTAAAAGGGATTTTTTAATTTTATGTGTATGAGTGATTTGTCTATATGTATGTAAGTGCACCATGTGTATGCAATGCCCTCAGAAACCAGAAGAGAATATCAGATCCCCTAGAACTGGAGTTACTGGCAGTTATGAGCTGCCATGTGGGTGCTGGGAACTGAACCAGGGACCTCTTCAAGGACAGCCAGTAAAGACCAAAAGAAGGTTAAAGGAAAGTATTAATAAGGTTTAAAAAAAAGTTTTTAAAAGTTTAAAAAAAAAAGTTTTTATGAGAGTTAAGAGAAAGAAAGGAAGAGAAAGAAAGAAAGAAAAAGAAAGAGAGGGAGAGAGGGAGGAAGAGAGGGAAGGAGGGAGGGAAGAAGGGAGAGAGAGAGAAAGAAAGAAAGAAAGAAAGAAAGAAAGAAAGAAAGAAAGGGAGGGAGGGAGGGAGGAAGAGAGGGAGGGAGGGAAGAAGGGAGAGAGAGAAAGAGAGACAGAAAGAAAGAAAGAAAGAAAGAAAGAAAGAAAGAAAGGAAAGAGGGAGAGAGGGAGGAAGAGAGGGAGGGAAGGAAGAAGGGAGAGAGAGAAAGAAAGAAAGAAAGAAAGAAAGAAAGAGAAAGGAAAGAGGGAGAGAGGGAGGAAGAGAGGGAGGGAGGGAAGAAGGGAGAGAGAGAGAGAAAGAAAGAAAGAAAGAAAGAAAGAAAGAAAGAAAGAAAGAAAGAAAGAAAGAGACACTCTGAGAGCCTGGTGTGGGCTTCTCAGAAAGAGCACACTTGACCCTCTTTACAACAATCATATATAGGATTTGGTTGCTAAGGAATTTCTCTCTCTCTCTCTCTCTCTCTCTCTCTCTCTCTCTCTCTCTCTCTCTCTCTCAGAGGAGTACATATATGCCATAGTGTAAGACAGAAGACAACTTCACCTTCCACCTTGTTTGAGGCAGGGTCTCCCTTACTGTTTGCTACTGAGTATGCCAGACTAGTTGGCCTAAAAATTTCCAGGAATTCTCCTCTCTACCTCCCATCTTGACATAGGAGTGCATGATACTACCTCTTATCTGGGTTTTAGAGATCTGAGCTCAGATCCTCATGTATATACAGCAAGCACTTTTTCCACTGAGCCATCTCCCCAGCCCAGGAAATTTAAGTGAGATCATGGGGTGGTCCCTGACAGGATTACAATTGGTGAAAATTCTAGCTCATAGGGATGCAGAGGAAGCTATATTTAATGTAAACATAGTTGTTAACCTTATTTGAATCCTAGAAAATATTTGGGAGAGGGGCTGGAGAGATGGCTCAGCAGTTAAGAGTAGCATTAGCTGCTTTTGCAGAGGACCTGGGTTCAGTTCCCAGCACCCACATGGCAGCTAACACTTGTCTGTAACTCCACTTCCTGGGAATCCAATGCCCTCTTCTGGCCTCCATGGGCATTGCAAGCATGTGGCACACTTACATACATACAGGCAAAACACATACATAATAAAAATAAATAATTTTTTTAAAAGAAAATATTTGGGAGAGGAATGAAGTCCTATCCAAGGTCATATACATTCGGGCTTTGAGCCCAATTCTGTTGCTATTTTAACATAAAATATCTGCATACAAGCTGGGCCTGATGGCATATGCCCTTAATCCCAGCATTCCAGAGGCAGAAGTAGATCTCTATGAGTTTGAGGCCAGCCTGGTCTACATAGCAAGTTCCAGGCCAGCCAGGGTTTCAAAAAAATCTATATGCCAAAGGAATAGTATCTCTATATGGGTACCTTTCACAGCAAATATTAACTGTTCTGGAATTCTTGCTTCTCAGCTGACTGGATGCTTCAACCAGACTCCAGCATGAAGGGTTTGAAGGGTTCCTTTCCTTTTTCATGTCCCCATAATTCTCCGTCCTTCTGTGGTGCCCCACCCTCACCCCAGCAGTCACCACAGATTAGTCCACCCAGGGATGAGGAGGTGACATCTCCCCCAGGGGCAGCACAGGGAGAGGGAATGTTGGCCCAAGGAGGCCAATAGACTACAGAAAGAACCACTGTAGTGCCTTTAATATGGGGGAGGAATCAGGAGGTCACAGAACTGACACCCCTACACCAACACCTCCTTGCCCTTGATTTCTTTTTTCCTCTACTGCTTATGGGAAGCCCTAACTGCTCCAAGTGGATAAGAGAAGAAGAACTTTGCTTGGTTTGAAGGAGTCCCTGTCCCCTGGGATGTGTGACTCTGGGAATTCCATCAAGAAACCCCCTGTCGGGGCAAAGAGATGGTTCAACAGTTAAGAGCACTGGCTACTCTTGCAGAGGACCTGGGTTCAATTTCCAACATCCACATGGCAGCTCACAATTATCCATAACTCTAGTTCCAGGGGATCTGATGTCCTGTTCTGGCCTCTGTGGACATTGCACACGCAGTACATTTACATACATTGAAGCAAGCAATGTAAAATACACACATAAAATAAAAGTAAAAAAATTTTAAATGTTTTTAAAAGGGCCAGGCATGGTGGCACACACCTTTAATCCCAGCACTCAGGAGGGAGAGACAGAGGGATCTCTGTGAGTTCAAGGCCAGCCTGGTCTACACATACTGAGATCCAGGCCAGCTGGGGCTACAAGGAGACCCTGTCTCAAAAAAGACCAAAAAAAATTAAAAACAAAACAAACAAAAAACCTGTGGTTCCTCATGGGAGAAAGGCCAGGGAATTCTAGGTCGTGTTTATTGCTCACAGATTTTTTTTTACTTCCTTCACCTTCCCTGAGTACACACACACACACACACACACACACACACACACACACACCCATCTGATCCTGTTCCCATGTCCTGGGGTCTGAGCCCATCTCTGGAGTTGTTCCTAGATGTGACAGCCAAGACGCTTTTTCCAATGTTTTCTCTCTCTCTCTTTCTCTCACCCTCTCCCTCTCTCCTTCCCTTACACCTTTTTATTTCCTTACTCTTCTTTAAAAGATTTATTTATTGATACTGTGTATGTATGAGTGTTTTACCTGCATTTATGTAAGTGCACTGTATACATGCAGTACCCATGGAGGCCAGAAGAGGGAGCTGGATCCTCTGGAACTGGAGTTACAGGCAGTAACTCCAGCCCCACAATCCACCATGTAGGTGCTGGGAACCAAACCTGGCTCCTTTTCAAGAGTAATCGGTGCTCTTAACCACAAAGACATCTCTCCAGCCCCCATGTCTTTCCTCTTATATTGCATATTTTTAAAGATTTGTTTGATTTTGATTTTGTGTTTGCTTGTGTGTCTATATGGGTATGTGCACACATGTGCAGGGGCCTGCAGAGCCCAGAGGTATCTAGTACTGCTGGAGCTGATGTTATAGGCAGTTGTGAGCGGCCTGACTTGGATGCTGGAATCAAACTCAGGTCCTCTATAAGAGTGCTACATGCTCTTAGTCTTTCTTTTTGTTTTTTTTTTTTGAGACAGGGTCTCCCTGTAGCCCCAGCTGGTCTGGAACTCACTATGTAGACCAGGCTGGCCTTGAACTCATAGAGATCCACCTGCCTCTGCTTCCCGAGTGCTGGGACTAAAGGTGTGTGCCACCATGCCCCGCTTAGAGTGCTACATGCTTAGTCTTAATTGTTGAACAGTCTCTCCAGCCATGGAATTTTATGTACATATTTTTTTGAGACAAGGTTTCATGTAGCCCTGACCTGGAAGAATGACCTGAAACTCAGCTCCTCATCCTGCATGTCCTAAGTGCTGGAATTATAGGCCAGTCTGTTACAACATGCCTCCCTGCCCCCATTTCTTCTCTGTCTCCTTTCCTCCCTCTCTTCCCTCCATCTCTCCCTCTCCCTCCCTCTCCCCTACTTCCTTTTTACTCACTCCCCCTCCCCCTTTTCCCAGAGAAGAGGTCTCATTCACTGTGTTACCCAGGCTGGCCTTAACTCCTGGGCTCAAGCAATTCACCAGTCTCAGTCTCCTGAGTATGTAGGGCTACCACTATACGCCACCACATCCAGTCCCCAGCCCCTCAGAATTTTAAGGGCCCAGAGATGCTCCATTACTGTTATAATGCCTCATTCTCAGATAGCTGAGTTTGGGGCCAAAGGAAGCCTTCAGCTCATGATGTTGATACCAAGTCCTTATAAGAAAAAGACCCGGCCCAGGCTATGAAACATTTCCTACAGAGCACTACAGGAAAAACTGCTCTTGGGCTGGGGATGGAGCTCTGTGGTAGAGTCCATGCCTTACATGCACAAGGCCCTGGGTTCCATCCCTAGCACTGGAGAAAAGACAGCAGGTAGGGATAGATGGGGACAGAGGAGGGAGGAAGAGACCCCCAGGATCCATCCCCAGCACTGGAGGGAGAGAGAGAGACTCTGTTTCTAGTGATGGTGTCAGCACTTGAGATGCTTCTAACCAGAAGGTGATGCACTTGTGATAATGGTGATAGAGCAACTGTGAGGTGTTTGCTGCGATGGTTTTAATTCTTCCTACTAGCTGAAAGTCATCTTGGGATGGTGATAGGGGTTGAAGTTCATTGTTGAGTATAACTGTGTCTAGAGTGATGATATGACACTTCTGGTCAAGAAGGTGTTTCTAGAAGTAACGTTGGTGGCTGAGTCACTACTGGCCACTGTGGTAATGATGGTGGACAAAGTGCTTGTAGGCTCGAATGTATTTCTGGTCATCACGCGGCTGCATTGTTGCTAACCATGCATTTATTTAGAGTCATGAAGTCCATAGATAAGATGGTATTTGTGGAGAAGGTGTTGTGGCTAAGGTGTGGGTAGAGATGACCATGGCTGGAGTTTGTGTGGAGATGGCAACAAGACTGTGTCTGTGGAGATGGCACCACAGTGGAGGTGTCTATGAGACAGTGACTCTGGAGATGGCACCATGGCTGTCAGTGGTGATGACTCCATGGCTGAGGTGTCTGTAGATATGATGTTGTGGTTGGGATGTCTGTAAAGATGGTGCCACCATTGAGGTGTCTATTGAGATAGTGCTACCACCCTGAAAGTGCCTGATCTTGTCTGATCTCAGAAGCTAAGCAGGGTCCGACCTGGTTGGTACTTGGATAGGAGATAGTGCTATGCCTGTGGAGATGGCACCTTGGCTGAGTTGTCTGTGGAGAAGGTGCCGAGGCTGGATGTGGCTGGCCATGGCTGTATTTATATTGATGGTCCCAACTGAGATATTCATAATGATGATGGAGTTACCATCCCAGTAACGAAAGAGGTGTCTGTGGTGTGACGGAGCTGGTGGCTGAGATGGTCCTACCATGAACTGTTATTACATAGTATTATGAACACTCCTGTGCTGGATAGCTTTAGTGTCAACTTAACACACCTGGGTTGAGGGAGCCTCAGTTGGGGGATTGCCTCTATTGGACTGGCCTGTGGCCATGTCTGAGGGGCATCTTCTTGATGAGTGATGTGGGAGGGCCCAGCCCACTGTGGGTGGTGCCACCCCTGGGCAGATGGGCCTGTGTTGCATAGGAAAGCAGGCTGAGCAGGGACCAGGGGAGCAAGCCAGTAAGCTGTGTTCCTCCATGGCCTGTGCTCCAGTTCCTTCTTCCAGGTTCCTGCCCTGAGCTCCCTGATGAACTTGGGCTCCCTAATGAACTGCAACCTGGGAGTTGTAAGCTAAATAAACCCTTTCCTCCCCAAGTTGGTAGTGTTTAGAGTGTTTTGTCACAGCAATGAAGAACAAACTAGGACAACTCCCATGAGGAAGGCAGCCTGTAGACCATCTGTAAGGCTCTCGGCTTGGGAGTGGAGGGAGTTCTTTCAGCCAAGATCCATGAGTCACTCCGGGAGACATATCCATACACCTGTATGCTCTATGCATGAGGACAAGGACTGCCCCCAACAGTGCCCCTGATTTCCTCTTCTGTATGTCACCCCAGGCTCTGCATGCAACACATGTCCCAAGAACTGGCTCAATTTTCAACAGAAGTGTTACTACTTTGGCAAAGGTTCCAAGCAGTGGATCCAAGCCAAATTCACCTGCAGTAACCTGAAAGGGCAGCTTGTCAGCATCCACAGCCAGGAGGAGCAGGTGGGTGAGCTGTGCAGACAGTAGGCAGCAGGGTGGGTGGGGTAGGAGGGTCAGATTCACCACCCTAGCTTTCTGGAATCGGTGGGAAGGACCCATACACATCTACCCCTAGGACTTTCTGACCAAACACATCAAGGAGGACTCCTGGATCGGCCTTCGGGATCTCTTTACTGAGGGAGAATTTGTATGGATGGATGACAGCCCGGTGGGGTATAGGTGAGAGGGGCCTTCTGGGAGATAAGTGAAGAGGTGGGAACACTGTGGTGGGAGCAGGCCCCTGGATGAGTCCGTTGGGGAGGGAGCCCTGGGGTCAAGGCTGCCATGAGGACAAACAAAATGCAAGGGTTGATGAATCAAGCCACAAGCACAGATTGGGAAGGTGGGTCTTGGACTGCAGAAAAACCTGTGCTGTGGAGGATGATGGGGGGAGGGGCTCAGACTCAGAGGTCTTGCAGAGATGGGGCACCCTCCCCATCCCATCTTTTTTTTTTCTTTGCTACAGCAACTGGAATCCTGGAGAGCCCAACAACGGGGGCCAGGGCGAGGACTGTGTGATGATGTGGGGATCTGGCCAATGGAACGATGCCTTCTGCCGCAGCTACCTGGAATCCTGGGTGTGCGAGCAACTGGCCACATGTGAACCATCTGCCCCCTTGGCCTCCATGAGCCCACTGAGTTCAGCAGAACCTGCTTCCTGACAGTCTTCTGCGTGCCCTCTTCTGGATCCCTCCCAGCACCTTGATCACAGGAAGAGCTGGGCCCTGAGAATCCCCAGTCAAGTGCTGCCCGCTCCTGCCACCTCCCCAGAGGGCATCCCTTGTTCCTCACCTGAACTGGCCATCCCCACTGCCCTCTACCTTCCCCAAACCAGAGCCCCAGCCAGGAGACAGGCTTCTTGCCTACTGGGATGCAGGCTGGCAGCAGAGCACCCAGGGAGCTGCAGAGAACACGGGTCTCTCACAGGGGACCCCCACAGACTTCTACAGCCCCCACCTCCTGTCAGGAGTTTCCTCAGCCTCCTCCCATCCTCAATACCACAAAACAGACTCCCACCTCCCTGAGCTCAGGGAGTGAGTTCTTCCTTGCCTTAGCTAAACAAGATTATGCTGGGTTCCCAACATCCCTTCCCTCCTCAGAGGTCCTCCCACCAGGCCTAGTGTCCAAGTCTGGCACATGGAAGCTGGGAATTCCAGAGTCATGATGCCCAAAAGATCCCCTTTGAAAATGTGGGCAACTGAAATGGCATTTATACCTTCTATATCTTGGATATTTTTTCTTCCTACTTCATTATAGAATGGGGGGGCCCTGCTGGGAAGATGGCTCAGTTAGAAGCATGAGCACCTGAGTTTGATTCTCAGCCAGGTGTGGTGGTGCGTGGCTGTAATCCACCTGGGCTTGGACTCAATAGCTGATGGGCCAGCCTCACTGAATTAGTGAGACCAAGATCAAACTAAGAGACTCTGTCTCAGAAAACAAGTGGAAGTCTGGCAAGACCACTCAACTGACAGAGCTGCTTGCTTCCAAGCCTTATGATCTGAGTTTGATCCCCAGGTCCCACATGGCGGAAAGAGAGAACTGGGTCCTGCAAACTATCCTCTGACCACTACATGTGCATGCGCACGCACACACACACACACACACACACACACACACACATAAAAAAAATTTTAAGTGGAGAGCAACTGAGGAGGACACCTAATGTCAACCTCTGACCTCCACATGCACACACACATACCATTCATTCATTCATTCCTTCATTCAAAATAAGGTGGAGGGCAGGAGAGATGGTTCACTGGTTGACAACACATACTGCTCTTCCAGAAGACCCAAGTTCAGATCCTGCCACCCACATAAGGCAGCTCACAACTGCGTGTAATTCCAGCTCCAGGGACTCCAACACCATCTTCTGGCCTCCACAGGCACCTGTACTCATGTGCAGAGACACATACATATGCACATAAATAAAAAATAAAGGGCCAGGCATGGTGGCACATGCCTTTAGTCCCAGCACTCGGGAGGCAGAAGCAGGCAGATCTCTGTGAGTTCTAGGCCCGCCTGGTCTACATAGCAAGTTCCAGAACAGCTGGGGTTACAGGGAGACCCTGTGTCAAATAAATAATAAATATAAAGATAAATATCTTTAATAATGTGGAGAGCAACTGTGCTCTAGCCTCCACATACATGCATGTGCTTGTAGACACACACACACACACACACACATACACACACACACACACACAATGTGCTAGGTGGGGCCTAGAGATAAAGATTCTGGGGTCCTAAAGGACCTATCAGGAATACTGCAGGGTAAAGCAATAGAAATGATCCCCCTCGATGCTCAGTCCCCCCGCCCAGAGGGGAGGCCGTAAGTTGACAATGGAAGTGCTCAGAAAATAACCTGGTACACAGAAGGCACTCAATGAGTGCTGGCCATCTGGACAGGACAGTGAGGAAGGAAAGTTGGCCTAGTCACCAGAGGCCAGCTGAGTTCTGAAAGTGTAGACCACATTCTGGCTCTGGGAAGGCCAAGGTGAGCAAGTACACCTGAAGTCATAGGAGGGGAGAGGCAGGTCAAATAGAGGGGTACCTTTTTTCCAACTCCACCACTGCTCAGGCCCACATAAAGGTCATCCTTAGCCAACCATAGTGGGGCACACCTTTAATCCCAGCACTCTGGAGGCAGAGGCAGGCGGATCTCTGTGAGTTCAAGGCCAGCCTGGTCTACATAGTGAGTTCCAGGACAGCTGGGGCTACAGGGAGACAAAAAAAGGTCATCTCTTCTCCCCTCAGTGATGCCCCAAGTCCATTTGAAAGGCTGTGACATTCGGATTGGCTCACTTCTCACCTTCTGTCTTGTACCACCTGGACTGGTGTTACCAAAGCCCCGCCCTGGTTACCCTCTTCACTGTTTCTAACCCTTCTAGAAGTTTCTCTCTAGCTCAGAGAAAAAGCCAAAGTCCTTCAGGGTCCCCCATATGAGTCCAGAATTCCTCTACTCCGTTACTTTTCCAACCTTTTCACCCAGCCCCAGCTCTTCACTGTTCTTTGAACAAGTGCACTGGTTCTCACCTCAGAACCTTTGCAAATCTTGGTCTCTCCTGCTCAGTCCATCCTCCAACATTTGACTCACAGGGACCTAACTGAGGCCCATTTAAAATCCTACCCTATGGCTCCTGGTCCCCAAACATACCCTGCACTTCTTCACCAAATAGTACATTGTTCCTTTTAGCTCTAAATTAGGGGATGGAGAGATGGCTCAGCAGCTAAGAGCACTGGCTGCTTTTGCAGAGGACCTGGGTTCGGTTTCCAGCACTCACATGGGGGTCAACAACTATCCAGAACTCCAGTTTCGGGGCATGTGATGCCCCCTTCTGGCCTCCCTTGGTATTACATGCACATGGTACCCTAACATATAAGCAGGCAAAAGACTCAGACTCGTAAAATAAAAATAAATCCATAAAAATAAGTAACAGCTAACCCTCTGGCTCCCTGCTTGCAACCTCCTGTACTTCTTCACCATAGCACATTGTGCCTTTTAACTAAATAGGTCATTGGTTTATTTGCTCCTTGCTTCCCCCCATCCCTGCCCACAGCTTCAAAAGGGCGGCCAGTGGGTAACTTTTGCTTCTTCTCAGTTGTTTCTCAGTTCTTCACTCATAGTAGGCATTCAGTAAATATTAGACAAAATAATAAACCTGTGGTCATGGATAAATGACACTTCTGAAGTATCTTTTCCTGGCCCGTGCTGTGACCATGCCCTTGGGCTAGTGCTGGGGAGTCTTCCTTGCCCCACCAACTCATGGGCCTGGGGGTTTCATGGGAGGCCTTCCCTACAGCCCAAACCACCCTAACTCAGAGAATGGGAATGTTGCCTGGCTTCCACCCCCAGCACCACATACAACTGGGCATGGTAGGGCATGGATGGGTGTTGTTGCTGAGGACCCAAGTTTAGTTTCCAGCACCCACATGACATCTAACAATCATCCATAATTCCAGTTACAGGGGATCTGACAGCCTCTTCTGGCCTCCACAGGCATTGTACACGTGGTACACTTACATGCAGGCAAAACATTCATACACATAAAATAAAAATAATAAATAAATAAATTTTTTTAATTGCACATGGTGGCACATGCCTGTAACCCCAACTCTGGAGGTAGAAACAGAAGGGTCAAGATCACCTTCAACTACATAGTGAGTCAGAGGGCCCAGGCTATACAAGAACTGTGATCAGAATCTGCTGGACCAGTCTTATCTTCTACCCTCTCTTGCCTCAGACCAGGGCTAGTCCCACAATCCTGTAGGTTGTCTAAAATCTTTTACCCATCCTCCACAAGAGGTGGGGAAACATACCCTGGGTCCCCCACTCCCTAACAGCTCCCACACACCCTCCTTTTCTCCTCAGCATCCTCACTGCCTCTGGGCAGACCTCTCTGTGTCATTCTGTCTTCTACCTCTTACTCCTGCAGCCAGCCCAGTTTGTCTCTAGCAAGCTCTTATCTCAAGCTAGCTACTCACCAGACCCTATAAGTCCTGCCTGGAGCAACCAAAGTCCAGAGGCTCTGGCATTTCCCTCCAAAAGACAGCTGCCCAGGCCCCATATTCACCACGTCCTGTTTCCTGGGGCTCCAGCCTCTTCCCTGCTCCTTCAGTCCTTTGGCTTCCCATCTGTACAGTCTCTAGCATCTCCTTCCTGAACGCCAGACACCTAGGCCTGTGCTCCTATTAGCCTCCTACTCGGGCCTCCTCCTTCCAGATACAAGATGCCAAGTACCCAAACACACACATGCTCTCCAGCCAAAAGTTACTCCAAAGACCTACCCACAGTAGATGCTCAATGTTTGATGATTGATTTTATTGTTTCGAGTACTGGGAATGGAACATAGGGTCTTCCACATGCTGGGCCAAAGTTATTTCTGACCCCTCACAGGGGGACCTGAGACAGAAGTTCTACCACTGAGCCATATGCCCAGCCCCTCACTGGGGGATCTTAGGCAGGACTCTACCACTGAGCCACACCCCCAGCCCCTCACTGGGGGATTCTAGGAAGGACTCTATCACTGAGCCACATACCCAGCCCCTCACTGGGGAATTCTAGGAAGGACTCTATCACTGAGCCACATACCCAGCCCCTCACTGGGGAATTCTAGGAAGGACTCTATCACTGAGCCACACCCTCAGCCCCTCACTGGGGG